CTGAATATTGAATTAGGTTAAGTGAGAAAAATATCAGAAAGAAAAAGAAGGAGAGAAAGAAAAAGAGAAGAAGGGAGAGAAAGAAGGGGAAAAGGAAGCTAGGAAGAGAAGAAGAGAGATGGGGAGGGAAGGAAATGAATATTAATAGAGAAATAACACATTTTGAATTGCAATTACTAAACTTAAGAAAGTAAAAGTGCTGGGAAGTAGTCGATCAATATTAGTGAGTTAAAAATAACTGTCTCTTTAAGTTTATTTTACTCTAGAAGAATGCCATAGATGGCAGCTTAAACAACAGAATTTTATATCTCCCAGTTTTGGAGCTTGAGATTTCAAAAATCTGGCTCTGGTAAATAGAGTATTCTACTTTTCTGTAACATCAAGACAAAAGTTAAGCAAAGTGGGATTTAAAAACATACTTTTAATATACAAAATTTCATATTTTAGTGACTACTAATGGACCACTCTGTCCACATTAGATTTCATATTTTTTTTGTAAATAGATGGTAAACACTGTTAATTCAGAAATGGGCTATAGAGTTAACAAATACATTAATAGGAATAAAGATTATTATAGAATATGGTGACTCATAATAGATACAAGCGATCAGAAGGAGCTTTGAATATTCTACTCCACACCAGACTGAGGCTAATAGGGTAGCACAACAGAGCAACTATAGTCAACAATATGTACATTTACAAATAACTAAAAAAGTAAAATCAAAACGTTTCTAAAACAAATAATGGGTAAATGCTTGAAGTGATGGATACCCCAATTACCTTGATTTGATTATTACACATTGTATGCTTGCATGAAAACATTACATATATCCCAAAATGTATAAAACTATTATGTATCCAAAATAATAAATTCTTCAAAAAAAACATAGACATCTTAATCTTAGGAGCTGAGTAGTTGCCTAGATTGTTTGTTTCTACATATCATTGAACTACAGAAGAATGTGACATAGAAGGCAGTATGTTAATTTTGTTGGCTTTTGACTTTCCTCATTTCTTCCTCTTTAAGTATGATATAAAATTTTATTTTTTCTAATTTATTTATCATACAAACACATGGAAATAAAATGCAAAAATGAATTTTACAGGTAGTCCTACCAATCTGATTTCAGAAAATTTTTTTTACATAGTTTTTATCAGGTCAGTAGCTAATTCTGGGTATACAGTTCTCAGCAATATGGCTTAACTGGAAATGAAACTGTATGGAAAAGATCAAAATTATACTCATAGGTTTGTAGAAAACTAAAGAAAGCAACTACATCAATAATGCTCTTGAGTGGCATTATAGAGATATTGGTTTACAATAATGACAGTAATTTTATTATCATTATTCATTGTTTCTGATACCAGAATAATGAAGACAGTTTAATAGAATAAAGTAGCAAATTATCCTTCTCATGAGTAAAAGATGCAAATATTAACATTAAATAAATTTTAATAAAACACCATTATTTTAACTATATGCTTTACACATTAATCAAGCCAAAAGCTCTCATTTTAAAATCAAATTTAATTTAAAATGTCAGGAATAAATAGAAAAATATTACAATTGATGTATTCTTTGGGAAGGGAAACACTGGGTAAGAATGAACTATTTCTTAAGAAAGTCAAGGCGTGGGGAGTGTGTGTGTGTGTGTGTGTGTGTGCGCCTGTGTGTGCATGTGAGATGTGTATACACATATGAGTATATGAGCAACATAACCACATTCTCCCCCAAACTAAGGTAATTGTAAGTATTTTTGTTTGCTTGCTTTAAGTCAGGAGGAAAAAATCCTGGAAAAGGAATTATAAAATAAGCCCATGTAAAAGGTGCAATAAAAGAGAACTAAGAGTAGAAATCGGTGAAAAAGATAACGGAAAAACAAAATATGAAAAAAAACAAAAACTGTTTCTTTAAAAATTATAATAGAATAATATTATTTTACCTAAATTGATAAAAACAAACATTTAAAAGTTAAGATAAATTAGTAAGGCTAGACATAAAATGAGCCATCATTAATATTCCTCCTACAAGTATTAAAATAAGAATAAAGAACCATTATGAAATATATTATGACAATACCATGAACCACTTAGATACAAGGTACAAATTTATTGAAAGATATAAATTACCAATATTAATGCAAGAATAAATAGAAATCCTGAATATATCTATTTGACTAAGGAAAGTTAATTCTATGCTCATCAAGAGAAACTGTATCTCATTTTTGAGCTCTTATTTTTTTTTTACTTTATGTCTCATATATTAAGGTCTGTCTTCATTCTGTCTTCACAAAGAGTGATGTATTTTCTAAGTCATTATATATCTTGGATTCTATCACTATTACTTATTCTTTGATTGGGCAATATTTCTTCAGTAAAAACTTTACAATTAAAAATAAATACAAATACCACTTGTTTGAGTTGAAATGGTTTTCACTGAAAATACCTGCAAACCTTTTTCACTAAATAAAGTAATATAATGCCTCATATAAATAGACATTTAGATAGGAGAGATTACAGGCATAATTGTTATAAATATCTTATTTAAGGATTGCTATATGTTTTTTTCTCCCTCTTAATACTACAATTCTCAGCCTTAAACTTAATCTCTAAACATGTTCCCTTGAGGTCCAGGTGTCTTCTTTGTGGATTTGTGGATGAATGTTTCCTTGTTCATTTGCAACAGGAGATTGAGAGATGTCTTTTTTAATCGAAAATTATAATTACTTTTTTTTTGGTTTAAATATACTACCTTGGGCATGTGCACACAGTTACAACAATAGCAATTTTAAGAAACGTTGCTCTTAATTTGAGCTCCAAATTACTGATTGGTAATTTTAGTCTCCATGATCTAAAAGTATCTTGTGATTGTAAGGAGGAGCAGTTGATATAATCACTATCATCAAAATAACAACCTAATTTCACATGCTAAAAAAGAAAAGCAACAACTGCTTCCCTTACTGTTGACTTTTAATAACCTTTAGGTAAGTTTCAAATTTACACATTTGTATTACTTATTCTTTAATAAACATTATTTTTACCTAGAAGTTAATTGAGAGAATTTCCAGTTACTTTAGCCAATCCCCAGCACAGGAGGACACAGCTGCCCCCATCCATAAGGATTCAGAATTACTTACATTCACTATGGAGAAAAGTTGTGTCTAGAATCCCTGTTGTACTATATTGTTCTGCATTTAAACACTGGGTTTGAAATTGACACTGGTAACATTTAAAAAATGAAAATTTGTCATTTATTGACAAACCAAATTGTAGATGGAGTCTTGCACAAAGTAAAGACTCTCTTCTGAAGGAATAGGAGGTAAAGAGGTGAGCCTGCTTGTTGTATGTTTATAGCTAATGTACATTATTGTTCTTTTCTTCAAATTTAAAATAATGCTCCTTATAACTCAAATATTTTAATAATATATGGCTATTCATGGATATATTGTATATTACATTGCCTGGCATAATGTGAGGTCTTGTAATTTGCAGAGAAGTTGTGGCACAGAGGTGTCACAGACAACTGTGATGAACCTAAAAGAGAGCCACAGGATTCTAATCTGGAAAACCCACAGGAAAAAAAAAAGTAAAAAAAAAAAAACAAAAAACCTACTAATTTATCCTCAGAAGTAAAAAGTCCTAACCAGGGTAAGAAAGCACATAGAACACTTAATAGCGAGTCAAATGAAAATAAATTTTAAAATGTGTCCTGCTGAGTATGGCAGCATCATGCAAATATGAGTTCTGGAGACAATGGAGGGTCCTTGGAGAGAGGCAACTTGGAGGCTTGGTAGCAATATGAAATGCAGAAATGGCTAAGAACCAAAGCCCTACTAAAAGTAGAAAATGATGAAGGAAAAGATAACTTTAGTGAATGTTAAACCAGGGAAAGCTCCATTTATTTCTATTTGTTGAAGAAACCCCTATAGAGACAGAAACTATTATGTGTGAACTTAGAAATAAGGAAAGCCGTCAAACTTTACGACCCTAGATTGTTTTCTACTGTTAGTCCTAGAAAATTCAACACAAAAATTAAAAAAACAAAAATTGTGAACATTGAACTCATCAGTTACTACAAGAATAAAAGAAAGCATGAGAAGTATGTATTTTTAAACAAAAACATTCTCAAAACAAAGCTAAGAAACAAAGTAAAAGTGTAACACACCATTCTGATATGAAAAAAATATAATTAAACAAGCATTTGCAAATTTGATTTTCAGAATTCAAATATCACAAATCAAGCATGTAATAAACTATTGATCAGCAATGGCTATTAAAATAAACAAAAGATAACAGCACATTATGAACTTTTCCATTGGAAAAACAGCAGTGCTTAGTACATAATAGAAATAACTAAATAACTGACTAAATAAATAAATAAATAAAACTTTAGGTCTAACAGAATTTTACAGGACTAAAGTGAACAGAGGGGCATGTCACATTACACCACAGGGATGCAATCAGCAATATCAAACGGGGTAAAACTCTCTGGACAAGCAAATGGTGTGTTCCATAAATGAATTTTAAAGCAGGGTAAAAACGCAAATTGAAGCAAACTTTATAAAGCCTAATTTTATAACAAACATATGTTTACAAATCAAGATACAAATGTTGACACCTATAAATATAAAAGTATAATGTTTTGGAAAATATTAGATAATGCAAATAGAAGCAAAAATTACTAAATTTAGTTATTTTGTTATGTATCATGAGATAGTAACCACTTTTAGCATATTTTTAAATAATCATTTGCATCTTTGTTCTATTTTTCCCCAAAAAGTATAGTTTTGTAACCAAAATGTGCAAAATTGCCAAGGTTACAAATAAACAAATTTTTCAGTGTCTGTAATGCTATATTTATTAATGTTGATGTTATATTTATTATAATATGAAACTATAGTGCACACTAAAATAACGTCTCATTTTTTCTCACACGATTCTTGTAGTAAAACCTGTCTTTGAATTTTTCATTAATGTTAAAAATGAACCTTTACTTTAATAATTCAAAATATATTATTACCTTCTGCTGCCAGCTACAAACAGTCCAAGAATTACTAGGGAGAGCAAGGCCTTAAGGCCTGTTGAATTTCTCTTTACAGTGACCTAATCAAAGAAACACTGATCTAAAGAAAAATTCAGTCTGTGTATTCTGAAAGACATAGAAAACAGTTCTGTTAAAGAAAATGAAGAATTTGGAAAGCATAATACTTCACAAAATTTTGATTTATTTTATTGATAATTTCAATTTTAATATCCTCTACAAATTGCAAAATATCTCACAATTTTTTATTTATTCATGTATTCTGAATTATATTAAATGAAAAAGTAGATATTCACAAACAACAAATGCTCTTTATATAATTAAGGCACTCAAAAGGCACATTGTTAATAATTCTAGATTATCAATGTTAACATGGTTGTCATTTAAGAAATAAGATTCTTACATTTTACAGTGAAAATGGAAAACATTAAGAAAAAAGGAGCTCAGATTTCTGTCAGTTAATGTATGTATTTACTTCACATTCTACTTAACTGAAAAATGATTAAACAGATAATTTACATAATTTGTATAAACAATAAAATAATAGTTTTTCTAAACACACCAGTGTAATTCTATTATAGATCTTCTATAAATTATTAATAGAATAATTGTGAAGAGCACACATCTTGGAGGTGAAATTTTTATTTAGGTATTTATTTTTTAATGAGATAGGGTCTCAGTCTGTCATCCAGGCTGGAATTCAGTGGCAGCATCATTGCTTATTGCAGCCTCCAGCTCCTGGGCTCAAGTGATCCTCCTGCCTCAACCTCCTGAGTAGTTGGGACTACAGGTGCATTCCACCCCACCTACCTAATTTTTATGCAACACTTTTTTAGAGACAAGAGACAAGGTCTTAATTTGTTGCACAGGCTGGTCTCAAACTTCTGACTAGATGCATTCCTGCCACCTGCGCCTCCCAAAATGTTGAGATTACAGGCATAAGCCACCACACCCAGCCCTTGTACAACTTTATAACACCATAATTCACACAGTATTTATCTCTTCTGGAATTCTGTGTAATAAATATTGTCATAGCTTGTATTCTTTTTAATTTTTAATATATATAAACATTCAATAAATGGTCCTTGAGACATGGCTTACCTCTTGGAATTTGTATGTAGAGATCATTCCTAGATTTTAATTTTTGAATTTATGTTTTACAAAACCTGTTACTTCTTCCAGAAAAATTATTTAAAAAGAAATGAATGTTCACTTTGATTTTTAAATAATGTTTTTATGTGGTACCTCCTTTGGCTATCCTATATTTATAATAATATAAATGATTGTAGTGAAACTCGTATTTTGCAAAGTAATAGTTATCAACATCACAGAATTAGTAGCAACAGTTGCTCATAATTTCTGAACACTGATATCAGTGGGCCTGCTAAATATTTTGCACTATGCCATTTCATCTTCACAATAATCCGTTGAGGTGGCTTTTGTTATTATGTGTTTTATAGATTACAAAATTGAGGTCAAGGGGTTAGTTAATTTTCCCAAGCTATGAGAGTAAGAAATGCAAACTGAAGTGTCAAACAGGAGCCAAGATTAAACTAATACTTAAAGATCCTTATTATTACTTAGAGATACAGAGTTTTGCTGAATTATGATTAGCCTGCTAGTATCTAATTACAACAATTAGCAAGGATTTTATTTATTCAGTTTTTACCTCATAGCATCAATATCCTCAAAATTTTATTCATTTCTATTTTATAGAATAAACTGCCCTTTGTTAGATTCAGTTTCATTAAAATCCATATTTACTCCAAAAATGTATATCAAGAAAAATATATTTGATTTGACTTAATTTGTATTGACTCAACAGTTACATTCAAATGATAAATTAGATGTTTGTATATTTTGCACGCAAACTAAAACACTTTCAGGGTGAAAGAGTCGCTAATGATAAATATGACAAGACAACAGGAATAATGTGAGAATATTCCACCAAACCAGGATATAAGGTTAACCCACTCATAGTGAATAAACTAGAATTCTCTGTGGTCCAAATAATTAGTGTAACTGAGCTTCCCTTTTTCTGCTTTGCTCCATGAGTAGTTTAAAAAATATATCCATTGTTAAGTAGTTCAAACATTAAAATTTTAATTCATAGCCACTTGTTGCCTCATTTGAACATATATTTAGTCAAAAATGTTATGTTCCTAATTGTAGAATTATAGGTCTAAGAATCACTAGAGCACTACCTTTCACTTCTGTAACAGATGATAGAAAACACGTCATTCACTGTGTTTCTTTTATAGACAAGATTTCATAAATTTGGTTTGAGGCAGATCCTAGACCTTTGCACAGGAATCCCATTGCCTCAAAAGGAGCTAAAGTCTTGAAGAGAGAGATCATGTGATCAAAAGGGACTTGCCTTGTCTTGGATGAGACTTTGAACTTGTACTTTTGGGTTAATGCTGGAACGAGTTAAGATTTCGGGGAGCTGTTGGGAAGGCATGATTGTGTTTTGCAATGTGAGGACATGAGATTTGGGAGGGGGCAGGGCTGGAATAATATGGTTTGGCTGTGTCCCCACCCAAATCTCATCTTGAATTGTAGATTCCATAAACTCCACGTGTCATGAGACCTGGTGGGAGATAATTAAATCATGGAGGTGGGTTTTTCCTATGCTTTTCTCATGATAGTAAACAAGTGTCATGAGATCTGACCGTTTTATAAAGGCAGCTCTCCTACCCATGCTGTCTGGCCTGCTGCCATGAGTTAAGGTTTTGTGGGACTGTAGGACTGTTGGAAAGGCATGATTGTATTTTAAAATGTGAAGACATGGGATTTGCAAGGGACCTGGGGTCGAATGATATGGTTTGGCTGTTTCCCTACCTAAATGTCAATTTGAATTGTAGCTCCCATAATCTCCAGATGTCCTGGGAGGGACCTGGTGGGATGTAATTGAATCATGGGGGTGGGTTTTTCCTGTGCTGTTCTTGTGATAGTGAATAAGTCTCACAAGATCTGATAGTTTTGTAAAGGGCAGCTCCCCTACATAAGCTGTCTTGCCTGCTAATATATAAGACAGGCCTTTGGTCCTCTTTCACTTTCCACCATGAGTGTGAGGCCTCCTCAGCCGTGTAGAACTGTGAGTTCATGATAGCCAAGTGTTATCCCCAAGGATATACATTAAGGAAGAGGCATCCAGGAAGGAAAACCTAAAGTATAATTCCAGGCTTCTTTCAACCACATCATCAAAAATTACCAGGACAGAATATATTTGAAGATGTATGAGGTATAACTCAAAACTTACTCAAATTCTTATGATGATTTCCTTTTTATAAGGTTAAAAATATTTATGAAAATATATTTTAATATTAAATCATATCTTGGAGGGTCTGAGCAGAAATGCACACTGATTTCTCATTTCCAATAAACTAACTGCACAGAGTATTGCAAAGGCTCAGCAGCAATTTTATATGTAGTGAGCATGATTCATCATCCATGCCCGCCCTGATAAATAACTCCCACATACTCTGGTTTGCTGCATATTCATTTTTGTCCTGCTTTAAATGCCCATTTTAAAAGTCATTAAACTAATAGGAGTGTGTGCTGGGAAAACTCATAATAAGCTAAATGCTAATACAGCTTTTGCTTACTTTCTTTTTTCTTTTAAACTTGAATAAATTGGGAGGCTATATTAGTCACGTCTGTGGCTTTATTGGTCTTTTGTAGTCTTCAGGCTTGAACTCTAGAATAATGATCTTAATCAATTCCCTGGACCCATGGAAGAAACCTCAATTGCTTCACCTAAAACATAAGAAAAGGAGGTATTTTAATTATTTTGTTGTCATTCAGATCAAATGGGGTCCTATATAGGAAACATCTCTAAAAGGTGTAAAAATTGTTGACATATAAAGCAATAAATTATTGTAAGTTATATAGTAAGTTTGTAAATGTTAGGAACTTCATATATGGTTATCTTCCCTTTTTTATGATATATTTTTTGTGTACCTGGAAGTATATTATAGAATAGATAAAGAAGGAAGGCAAGAATGTTACTATAGGTTTGAGTGTTTTTAGTTATTCTTTCAATAAAAATAGTAGTATGAATTTTTTTCCTGTGATTCATTTTGAACCAATTTATTTATTTCTAATTAAGTTATTCCTGGTGGTTTATTGTTCTTCATCACCTTCCTGAACAGAGACCTTCTGATCCTGAAACTGTATAAACTAACTGAGATTCCGTTTAGGTAATTCCTGCTAAATAGAATGAAAAATAGAGTTAAATTGATTTATGTACCCAGTGAAGGTAAATTGCCCTTACCAAATAAATATCTAATGCTTATGAGACATTAAGTTGCTATATAAAAGTATAATTTCTAACCCAGGCTATTTTCATCTGGCATCTTTTACTACTGAAATTTGAGCTAATATAGTAAATTATTTTAGCCTTTATGTTTCACTTGCTCTTTGAACATTTGAAACTTATTTTCACAAGATTCTACTTGAAACTTTCTCCTATTTGGCTTGTGCAAAATATGTTTTGCATAGTTTTTCTCATTTGCATATGGAAATTTCTTCTCAATGTTCATATCTGATTTTTCTCTTCTTCCCTTTTTTCTCTATCTCCTTTTCTCTGTCTCTGTCTCTCCCTGCCTCTTTGTTTCTGTCTGTCTCTCTCTCTCTGTTTCTTTCCTCATTCTAAATTTATTCCCTTGATTATTTCATTTAGTCTCTGGTTTACTAGTTTTACTCTGAAGGCTCCTAAATCTATAGCTCCAGCCCAGGTCACTTTCTTGAGATCCAGACAAATATGTAACTAAACACTGTACATTTTTTCTTAAATTTCCCATAACTATGTGAAACTAAACATACCAAAAATGAAATGTACTTATTTTCATTTTATCTTATATTGATTTATGATGCCATAAACTGTCCACTTGCCCAATCTAGAAATTAGAAAAGCAACTTGGACTACTCTTGTGCTTTTATCTCTTTTTTCACATCTATATGCCATTAATTTCCATATGTTCAACATAATATAATTACTACTTCCACTTCTGCAGTTTTTGATCTCATAAAATCTTGGATATTTGTATGTAGTAATATAGTATCTAGCATTCTTATGTAAGTTCACATGGCCAGGGGTGCTTAAACCAAATGATCCTCCTAACTCCAAACTTGATATCTCACTAAATTGAAAATAGAGTTATTTTGTTTCCATGCTTAAAATCATTCAGCAGTCTCTTTTAACTACAAAATAAATTTTAAACTCCTAGAAATTGAATAAAAAATTCCTTATGATTTGATTCTTTTACCTTCACACTCTATACCTCATTGTTTTCTCTCACGTCTTACATTACAGCAGTGTCAGACGACCTCTACTTTCAGACACACATTTTCCATCTGCCTGAAATGTGCCCTTCCCATATATATTCTATACACCTCAAGGTTCAATTAAATTATCACTTCTAAAGGGGTCGTTCACTGTATATATAGTTTTAAAAAGCTAACTTGATTAGTTAGTGTTAAGAAATTTTTGACAAATAATTTACCCCTCCTCCCCAGCTACACTGAAATTGTAATACATTTCAACAGGTGTTATGTGGTTTCTGCTATGAGCAGACTGTCTACTATGTGTTATATTTTCTCATAATGTGGTGATGATACAAATGAACTCTTTCTGTTCTTATACAACTTACTATATTGTAAGAAATATAATCTAGAGACATAAAGCAGCCTAAACCACAACAATGAGGAGGACTTTGTAAGCAGGGTGGTTGGCATAGCATTGGAGGCTACCACCACCACTCTTCTAAGAGAAATTGAGGGCCTGAACCGAGTTACAGACAACAAGCATTTTTTTTTTTTTCCTGAGACGGAGTTTCACTCATGTTACCCAGGTTGGAGTGCAATGGCGCGATCTCAGCTCACGGCAACCTCCGCCTCCTGGGTTCAGGCAATTCTCCTGCCTCAGCCTCCTGAGTAGCTGGGATTACAGGCACGCACCACCATGCCCAGCTAATTTTTTGTATTTTTAGTAGAGACGGGGTTTCACTATGTTGACCAGGATGGTCTCGATCTCTTGACCTCATGATCCACCCGCCTCGGCCTCCCAAAGTGCTGGGATTACAGGCTTGAGCCACCGCGCCCAGCCAACAACAAGCATTTTAAGAACAAGTGTATTTGAAATACACTGCCGACATACAATTAACAGAAGGTTTTAATCATTTAGCTATGAAAAAAGAAGGCAGTTGAGATAATTTGGAGTAATTCAGTTTTCTACCTTAGGGTTACTTTCTGTGTGCAGACTAAAATCTTCGATTACTGTTTAAAGTTAACTTTATACAATTGTTAAGGCATTCTTATACAGCTTGTCAAAAACGAGCAACAATCCTTATACACTTTGGCCCAAAGTTAAAATGACATCTTCATTTTTATTGCAAATATGGGAGCCAATTTAATTATTTCTACAAGAATCCAGTTTTTTTCTGCTGCAAGAGGCCAGGTTTATGTATGAGTGCTGACTACCAGAAATAATTAAGCAAAATACAAAGTGAAGAAAACTGTTCTAAATATGTTTTCCTTTTGATAGAAAAAGACATAGAAATGATAATTAAAATGTCTAAATATTTTTAAAGAAGTAAATGAGATGTTACACAGTTTCTGAATATATATTAGGTATAAATACATCCTTCAAGTATTACAGACGGTAAATTATTCAATCCTTATATCAAAAATTTTATAGAGCACATTTTGTTATTCACATGCTGAATTTCTCAGCGGAATCCTTATTTTCAAATCATGAGCTAAAAGAAGCTTCAAAATGTGAACATAAATGATATTAAAGATCATTGGCCCAATTCTTCAGTTTTGCAGATATCAATATAAAGCTCTGAAACTTTGTAAAACTGAGCAGAGTAATTTCCTAAGGATAGATACAACATTATTGCAAGGCTGTGAGTAGAGCTCATACCTCCTGGTTCCCTAGCCTGAGCTATAAATAATCCTATAACTTAGAAAAGTTTTCCCAAAATATTTCATAAAATTTCCACTCCAAACCAGATGATTTAATGTAAGAATGCAAGATATTTCATCTGTGAGCAACCAGTTTGACAAGGCTCATTAAGATGAAACTAGCTGAGAATATCTTCATCTTTTTGAAATTTGAGTACCTTTTTGTGACATCAAAGACAGTTCTAATTTACTTCTATAACATAATTTCATATTTCTTTATATTAACTAAAGTAACTCTAATTTGTCAGTTTTAAAACTTTTTCTTAATGTTTTTCTGATCACACATCGTTATTTGAAATTACCGATTGTTTTATTTTTATTGCCTCTTTCCATTTAGTATATTGTAAATTTTGTAAAATGCATGTTTCTTGTCTGCTCTGTTTGTTGCAGTAAACCCAGAACTTAAAATCGTGAATATAATTGGCATTTAACGTGTATTTTTCTATAGATGAATAGCTCTGGTGGTTTAATGGATCTTCTAGACTTATCCTAATCTAGTTACTTAAATGGAAATTGTTTTGATTTTAAGGCATAACTGTAAATTGGCTTTAAATATTAGTAAATAAAAAGAGAACATCTGAAAGTGCCACTACAAAAATACTAAAAATATTAATATTAATACTTAAAACAATCTGATTTCTCACTCCAGGTCCAAGACAGTATGCTAATGCTGTATAGAGAAAATACTAAGTAAATACTTGCTGAATAACATAAAGTATTGTTTAAAATAACTCATGTTAGAAATTTGTTATTTCCTGGTCTTCTTTTATAAAACACGCAGACATACACTCTCAGGTATAACTCAAAATCATTAGTTCCCTCAAAATAAAGAAACTGATATTTGTAGGAAGCTGAAGCATTAGAAATGCATTATCTGAAAGTAAACAGGTAAATTAACAGTAGCTTAAACAATGCACTTTTATTTTGTTGGTATATGAAATCTGGAGTTGATCAAATTTTTACATTTTATCAGTGTATTAAAAATGACAGAGCTAATACCTGTTGTTTGCTAGGCCTTCTCCTCATGATCCCAAATAGCTACCTTACTTTAATACCTGCATTCAATGAAGAAGAATGTAGGAGCAGGCGGGACCAAGGTCTGAGGGGGTCAATTATTTTCTATTGATAACTAAAAGAAAATCTCTAAAATAAACTTTCTCAGTATTTTTTTGTTTTAATAACCAGTAATAAATAACTTGATAATGTCTATTCACAAAAGAAGACAGTAAAATAAGGCATATGTTAGTTACTGTAAATTTAGACCAAATATGTACCATTGCGTAAAGCTCGTCATATTGTTGCTTCAAAACAGAATCTGCTAGAGGCTACAATCCCTCATCAATATCGATGTATCAATCCTCAATATAATATTAGCAAGTCAAGTTCAAAACCTTATAAAAACAATTATACATCATGACCAAGTAGGATTCTCTAGGTATGCAAGCTAAGAAAACAGTCAAAAATCAATTAATGTAATTCATCACATCAATAGGCTAAAGAAGAAAAAATATATAATAAATACATAAAAACACCTTTGACAATGTTCAACACTCAATCATGATAAAAAACTATCAGCAAACTAGGAATAAAGGGAAATTTCATCCAATTGAAGAACCTATACAGAAACCTTATAGATAACAGCATACTTGGTAATGAGAAGCTAGAAATTTTTCTACTAAGATCAGGAACAAGGCAAGAATGTCACCACTCACCCATTCCTTTTTGATATTATACTATCGTATTAGCAAGTCTTAGCTAATGTGATAAGACAAGAGAAAGAAATATAAGATATACGGACTTGGAAGGAAAAAATAAAACTCTCTTTGTTCACAAATTATAGGATTATTTATGTATAAAACATAATCTACAATAGAACTTGAACTAATAAGTGATGATAGCAAGGTTACAAGATACAAAGTTAAGATGAAAAAGTCAATTCCTGTCTTATACAATGGAAATTAACAAAGAATAAAATAAATTGATTTCCATGCTTATAAATAGGAAGACTAATCTTATTGTCAAGATGTCAGTTTGTTAAACATGATGTATAGATTCAATGCAATCCCAATAAAAATCCTAGCAAGTTATTTTGTGGATATCAACAAACTAAAGTTTATAATGGAGATGCCAAAGACCAAGAATAGTAAATATTGCAATACTGAAGGAGAAAACCAAAGTCAAAAGACTGGCACTATGCAACTTCAGGATTTAATATAAAGCTACAGCAATCAAATCAGTGAGGTATTGGTGAATGAATAAGCAAATAAATCAATGGACTAGAATAAACCAGTCATAAATATGCCCACATAAATTTGGTAAACTGATCACTGACAACAGTGAAAAGGCAATTCAATCAATGCCAAAAGGATAGACTCTTCCACAAATGGTGCTGTAACAACTGGATATCTACAATGCAGAACAACAACAACAACAGCAAAACTGAAAATATAAAAATATGAATCCAGACAGAGACCTTATAACTTTTGCCAAACAAACCTTAAAATGGATTATTGACCTAAATGTGATATGCAAAACTGTGAAACTTCTAGAAGATAACATAGAAGAAAATGTAGATTACTATAGTTTGATACAATTCTAAAATAATTAACCATAAAATAAATAATTGATAATATGAACTACTCTAAAATTAAAAACTTTTGCTCTGTATATACATTGTTAAGACAATGAGAAAACACGCAACAAACTGGAAGAAATATTTCCAAATTGCATCTGAAAAGGTCTGTTATTCAAAATAGACAAAAAGCCATTAAAATTGAACAATAAAATTAAATTATGGGCAAGTTAATTTTTAAAAGTTTAAAAATGGTCAAGGATTGGAATACCTTACAATTTAAGACATACAGATGGCAAGTAGCTTATCAAAATATTCAACATAATACATCATTGTGGAATTGCAAATTAAAACAAGATACTTTACACACCAAACACTGAACATCAAGAATGTAGAATAATAATAGTTTTCATTTACTGATGATTATATCCACTTTAAAATATAATTTGGCAATTTTTTTCAAAACTAAGCATATGCTTACCAAAAGATCCAGCAGACACACTCCTTGGTATTTACCTACATAAGGTAAAGATGTATGACCACACAAAAACCTACATGTGCTGTTTACAGCAGCTTTAACCATAATTGTCAAAACTTGGAGGTAACCAAGATATCCTTCAATAGATAACTGGATAAACTATGGTATATCCATACAATAAAATATTTATTCAGTGTTAGTTACAGTGATGTTGTAAGCCATAAAAAGATAACGGAAGAACCTTAAAGGCATCATACTAAATGAGAGAAACCAATCTGAATGCTACATACTGTGTGATTACATCTATATGACATTCTGAAACGGGTAAAATTATGGAGACACTAAAAGTATCAGTGGTTGTCAAAGGTTTGTTGGGAGGAGAGGAAAATAGGAGGAGCACGGGAAATATTTAGGGTAGTGAAACTCTTCTGTACTATATTATAATGGTGGATATATGCCATGTCTTTGTCAAAACCCATTGAATATACAACACCAAGAGTGAACCTTAAGGTAAACTATAAATTTAGGGCGATAATGATGTGTCAATGTTTATTAATTGCAACAAATGTACTGAGGTTGATAGAGGCAAATAAATATGTTCCAGAGAGAGGAAATATATAGCTCTAGATTGCTTAGTTTGCATACCAAAGATATACTACCAGTTAGACTTTTGCTACTTTTGAGAATTATCTAGCCCCGGGAAGGGCAGTCTTTTCCCAGACATAAAGCCATTTTTAAAAGCCAAAACACTGTAATATGCAGAAAATTAAAGAGTCTTTACAATGCAAATAATCTCCTGAATAGGACTTAGATTTTAGCAACAGTCTACCAGTGGGGTTTAAGTCACATCATAAAGTGAACCATATGTATAACTATTGATGATAATTGAATCTTTTAGCTAGCGTATTAAAGATATTTATTCAACAGAAAATGTAAATATATAAAATTAACTTTGCTTTTTTCTCCTACTGTTACTTCTAATTCACTGTAAGTTTCTACTTCTTTGGGTGCATTACGCCCTGAGGTAGTTCTTAGTCACATGTTATAACAATTCAAAATGACTGTGGCTAGCAGCATTTAAGTCCAACAAATAACTTGTCCTGAGTTTGAAGGTGGTTAATAAATCTTATATCTGGGAAAATCATTGAATTTCATTTCTAACACTTTAAACATAGATCAAAATAAGGTTGGATTCAAGCCAATATAAATCATAGTGGAGTCTGAAATGATAATATACTATGTATGTCAGTGCTAGCATTTCTGCCAGAAATCTATTTAAATATCAGAAAAATCTATTTTGAGGATGCTGTGTGTACTGCAGAAGAAAATTTATCATCCTTTTTTTTATTGAATGCTGAAAGCTTTATGTATCAATAAGCTGCCTACCATGAGAAAGTTGAAAAAGCTTAGTAATAGGCTAGTATGAGATAAGAGATGAGGTTAAGTTTAGTTATTATTTATCATTTTCAATATGCATATTGTTGACTGGGATTATTAATCCTCTATAATTTTATGCCAATATATATACAATATACACAATTTGTTTCTTAAAAGTACCAATATTTGGGTTAGAGCTTCACTTATTTTACTTTTAACACCCATGTTGATCAATATATTTCAAGCTATAGATACTAGCTTTTTAATCATAGTTCCTAAGGAAAGTTGTGCTATTTAACACAAATAATTCAATTCAATTCACTTATTCATGCATTATTCAAGAAATATTTGTGGATATTATAATGTGCCAGCATTGTTCCACAAACTAGAATCAAAGCAGTGCTCAAAATAGTCAAAAAATTATTTTATAAAACTTACATAGTAATTTTTGGGACAGATGGATATGAACCCACACACACCAACACATACACACACACACTCACATGCACTTATGCGTATACGTATAAACCAGGTGGGCATAAGTATTCCGGCCATAAATAAAGCAGAGAAAACGATGGGGAATGGTGGTGAGGTCTGTTTTGCCTCAGATGATCATAGAGTATCTCTCTGATAGGGTGATATTTAGAAGTTTCTGAGTAGTTTTTCAATAAGAAGGAATAGCAGATAGAAAGATGTAGAATTAGGACTATTCTGGGCATATTCAAAAAACAGAATATTAACTCCAGACCAATGTGGAGTTAATATACTGATTTCCCAGACAGTGTAGGATCTGATCACATGGAAGCTTTGTCAGTAGAGGTAATACTTATGGAAGGTTTTGAATGGACAAACAATATGGTTATATATACATAACTACACAATATGTATTTTATATACACGTACACACATGCATACTTTTTTCTTTTTCTTTCTTTCTTTCTTTTTTTTTTTTTTTTTTTGTGACTGAGTCTTGCTCTGTCACCAGGCTGGAGTGCAGTGGCTGCAACTTCTGCCTCCTGGGTTCAAGAGATTCTTCTGCCTCAGCCTCCTGAGTAGCTAGGACTACAGGTTCACGCCACCATGCCCAGCTAATTTTTGTATTTTTAGTAGAGACAAGGTTTCATCATGTTGGCCAGGATGGTCTCGATCTCTTGACCTCGTGATTTGCCCTCCTCAGCCTCCCAGAGTGTTGAGATTACAGATGTGAGCCACTGCACCCGGCCCATACTTTTTATTTAGAATAGTTTTATACTTTATGAAAAATAGTGGTGAGGGTACAGAGAATTACCATGTACCTCACATGCAGTTCCCTCATTATTTACATCTTAGTATGATACATTTGTTATAATGAACTAGTATTGATGCATATAATAATCCCATTAATAACATCACTACATTTAATACTTTTAAAAAAATTTCTTAATCTTAACCTGATGTCCCTTTTCTGTCCTAAGATCTCATCCAGGATTCCACATCACATTTAATCATCCTGTTTCCTCAGGTTCCTGTTGGTTTGACTGTTTGTAAGATATTCCTTACTTTGATGACCTTGACAATTCTGAGAGGTCCTGGTCAGGTATTGTATAGAATGCTCCTTAATTAGGATTGTCTGATTTTTTTCTCATGATTAGACCAGATTATGGGTTTTCAAAGATAATTCAGAGGTTAAGTGATATTTTTATATAAAAGATACATACTACCAATGAGACTAATCCCAGTATATATTAAACTTGATCATTTGGCTGAAGTGCTGTTTGTCAGGTTTCTCCATGTAAAGGTAGCCGTTTTCCCGGCTTTGTCTATTGAACTTTTAGAGAAAAGTCACAGCGAGATGTCCATGCTTGAGATGTAAACCTTCTTGCACACAAACAATCTGCAAGAATTGTTTGAATTTTTTCTGCAGGAATAATTTGTTTCTTTTCCCCTATTTATTCAATCATTTATATCTTTATGGACTCATAAATATCTATTTTATACTTTAAATTAATATCCAATATTTATTTTACTCAAAATTTTCTAGCTTTGGCTATTGGAAAGTCTTTCAGTAGGCTTCCACATTCCTTTGATATATTACCAGGTATATATGTGTGAATGTGAGTTTGTTGTTGATGGTAATTTTGTTATCACTTGTTTGGTTTTAATGTGACCCAGGTTTCTGTCACTCTAAGAATAAATATACTCCAAGCTCACATTTTATAATTTCTCAGCCAAGCCTAGCATCAGCCATTTCTCCAAAAAGCCCTAGTTCCTTTATGTGAAATATAGTATTAGAAGCCAAGATCTAGAAGCTAGATATATTCCTTGTTACTGGAGTGCTATTTCTTCTAGGCCCTGTTAG